GGGTGCGGGCCCGCCCCCCCCCCCCCCCCCGCCGCTCTGTTGGTTGCTCTGCCGGGCACCCATTTGTCACAGCAGCAGAGAACTGAGACCAGGGGTCAAGAACAGCCCCTTGACCAAGTCCCCGGCCCACTGGCCAGTGTTAGCAGAAGGTCCCAGCCCACTGCGGTCGCTGAGCCAGGAGGTTTCTGCCAATCTGGAGCTAGGTCCCCTGCACTGGCCAGTCGTAGATTTTGGCTTCAGACTTGGCCCTGCCGGGCACCCATTTGTCACAGCAGCAGAGAACTGAGACCAGGGGTCAAGAACAGCCCCTTGACCAAGTCCCCGGCCCACTGGCCAGTGTTAGCAGAAGGTCCCAGCCCACTGCGGTCGCTGAGCCAGGAGGTTTCTGCCAATCTGGAGCTAGGTCCCCTGCACTGGCCAGTCGTAGATTTTGGCTTCAGACTTGGCCAGGGTCGTAGCTACAGAGTGCCAGTAGCTCATGGCAACAGGGATGCTGCTCCCCTAATTTTCAGACTGGTCTGCCTTGTCCCACCCCTGGCGAGTAGCATCCCATTCCCGTCCCTGCTCCCCTTGAGAGAACCCCTGCATCTTTGCTTCCTATGTGTCCCCCAGAGCATCTTCAAAGGATACTATGCAGCATGCCTCTGTTATCCCAGGCACCACTTCCTGTGCCCTGCTGCTGTTGTTTCTGTGAGGGAAGTACCTTCTGCTTTACACAAGATTAAAAGGAGGCTGCAGTGTAAAAACAAGGTTAAAATAAGGTGTATTAGGGAAACCTAGAGCCAGGGCTGAATTTATGTTATATAGTGAAATGGTGGCATTGGAATTTTATTCATTAAAAGTAAATTGTTGCTCTCTGCACTTAAGACTTTACAAACTTGGGGGTTTTTTTTTTTTGGAGAGTCTTATTTGCTTCTCACTTACGTAGTCCCCAGCTGATTTTTCTGTAGATTAGTGGCCCCTGACTCAAAGTTCATCTATTGTGTTGAACATAAATAAATATTTTACTTTATTTAAAATGAAGTTTGATTAACTTTCTCATGTTAGTTTAAGTGCTGAATCTGTTTAATACTTTAAATTAATTTAACCAGTAAGAAAGGAAATATTAAACTGTTCTTCCTGACTACAGCACTAGCAAAATAGGCATAATTATGGAGTTAACGGCGAGTTTCCATTTGCAACTGGTGATCTGCAGAAAGGTTTGCATTGAGCCTGTGGAGTTACAGGCCAAAAAGTTTGAGAACTACTGATCTAGTATCCTATCTCTGATAGTGGTTGGTATCAGAGACTAAGAGTGCATCTACACAGCAGGGCTTAGCTCAATTTGCATAGCTTATTTTAAGTTATGTCAATTGTATAGCTTATTTCAAAATAGCTTATTTTGAAATTGGGAGCGTCTACACAGCACTTACTTCAAAATAGAGCACTCTTCCTTCAACTTCCCTTACTCCTCATACAATGAGGGTGACAGGAGTCTGAGTAAGAAGTCCTCCAGCTTGACAGTGTTTTGACATTTCAAAATAACTGCCTGCTGTGTAAACACGGACTAAGTTATTTTGAAGTAACACTAAAGTTATTTTGAATACTGTTGCTGTGTAGATGTATTCTAAGGGACTGAATAGAACAAGGCAATTTCACGTGATCCAGCCCCTAAGGTTCAATCCCAGCTTCTCGCAGTACGAGGTTTAGGGATACCTAGGGCATGGGGTTGCACCTCTGATCATTTTGACTAATAGCCATTTTGAACTTACCTATTTTTTCCCACACTATCCCATAGCAATGAGTTCCACAGGCTGACTCTGCATTTTGTAAAGTACTTAATTCTGGTGCTACATGAAATAGGGATGTGAAGGACTAGTTGACTATCTGATAAGCAAATGCTTATCAGATAGCTAGCCAACAGGATAGTCGATTAGTCACTTTGCCCCCCTTGCTACCTCTATCTGAAAGAGCCAGCAAGGGTGGGGGGAGAGACGGTTACTTCACAGCAGCAGCTGCCGCTTTGAAACGCCACAGAGAGCGTGGCATCAGGCTCCTTACGGCGTTTCAAAGTGGCAGCGCTGTGTGTACCCTGGGATCAGCTGGACTCCTGATTCATTTTGTCTGTAGTATTGATGAATTTATAAACCTTTATCATATTATCCCCTCCTCTTGGCCAGGGGGTAGTCTTTTTTTTCCTAAAATTAACAGTCCCATTCATTTTAATCTCTCCTCATTTGGAAAATGTCCACCTCCCTAAGATATACACACATATGTTTATTTATATAAAAAAGTGTGTGCGTATATAAATGTGTACGTATATAAACATATATTTTATGGGTTGACCAGAACTGTGCTCAGTATTGAAGGTGTGGGATTACCATGGATTTTTATAGTTAAATTATAATATTTACTGTTTAATTATCTATTCCTTCCTAATGATCGTAATCACTCTGTTAGTTTTTTTTGACTGTCCTTGCAAATTATGTAGATGTTTTCAGTAAACTAACTAATGACTCCAAGATCTCTTTCTTGGATGGTTACAATTAATTTAGACCTCATTATTTTGTATGTATAATTGAGAATTTTTTCCAGTGTGTGTTTCTTTGAATTTCATATGACATTTTTTCACCCAGTCATCTAGGTTGTGAGATACCTTTATAACTTTTCACAGATGGCTTTGGACTTAACTCACCTGAATAATTTGATATTGTCTGTTAGTTTTACCACCTCACTATTCATGCCCTTTTTTGACTTGATTCTCTCTCTCTCTCTCATTTTAGATAGTTTGTGCATCTGTCTGTGAACCATTGCCTGGCCCCAGACAGGCTGCAAGGTGGGAGGATAGGGGAAGCAGCTGGATGCTGGTTCCCCCCCTACCCCAGACAAACTGCACACTTGGGGATGGGGGTGCTGCTGGAGACCAAAGGCAGTCCTGGAGTATTTGCTTCTCCCCTCACCGCACCATCGGACCAAGTGGAGGGCAGCTAGAGTCTGGGGCCAGCCCCTGGAGCCTTGCTCCCCCCAACCACCCTGAGGCCCTTTGTGCCGCTGCTTTTCTCCGTGGACAGGCCATAGGGCAGGGCGAGTCACTGGAGAGCAGGGCCAGTCCCCAGAGTGCCACCCCTTCCCCTGCATGATAGGCTGGGGTGGGGGGAGGCCCACTGGAGACCAGGGTCAGCCCTTGGAGCTTGTCCTCTCCCTTTCCTGAACCAGCTGCAGGGCACAGTGGGGAGGGGAGAGCAGCTGAATGTCAGTCCCCACCCCACCCTTGGACCCTTGCCACCACCCAGACAAGCTAGAGGCAGAGGGA